ATACCTGGTATCTACGAGGTATATAAGCACTACCATGAATCCAACAATAGTCTTGTGCCATATCAGACTGTATCCCCTGGAAGTCACAGCTGAAACAATATAATATGTTACAATCATACAGAGAGGTCAAATAAACATTTGAATAAAGTTACGACTTATCAATCGGATTACACGACATAGAATTTGGAAGCAAATATATTTTATGTTTAGAACATTGACGACAATCTTGATACGTATTCAATGCGATCAAAGTTGTCTAAACTATTAATTATCTTCTTTTGAAACAAAGATTTAATACTAAACAAAAATCAAGAATGGTCTGTTGTTATTGTTCTTCAGAGGCCGCTATTAAAAAGTCTGGAGTCTAAGAATTTAAGGTTCAATTTTTTCATTTTTGGGTTTTACCCGAGTTGGTGAGGTTGGTCAAAGTGATTTACTGGTTTTTAAATTAGACTCAGCACTAGCCTTAGCTCAAGGCTTACTTTAGTCTCGATGGCAACTCAAATTTGAGACTATGGAGTTGACTCTTTGCCGCTAATTCAATTGTAATCTCTATATCTTTGCTATCTGGTGGTGTAAACTTTTGATTTTTCAAACTCTCAAGATTATTTGATCCAACAAAATTAAAAGTAGGAAATATCTTAGCTCTTGGGTTGCAAAGGCGTAGGAGTTATAGCCTCAAGAACATAAAACATATAACAAACATATAACAATAAACTATGTAAGCTTGATAAATCATAATTGAGGCCTTACAATATATTTATATATACTAAATATTTGGATTATAGTGCCCACATGTTTAAACTTTAACACTCCACAGGGGTTCAGCTGGCTTTTGTTAGAATTAAAGATAAATTATATCAAAACTTAACATTCATTATTCTCATTATTTATTCTATAGCTTGCTCTGACATATTCATAAAATATTATATTTTTAAACTGTTTATCATCTTTCATTCAGAGAATATTATATTTACTAATCTAAAACATATTTGAGCACATTATTTACAATTTAAATATAAACATTATATCAAAGTACGTTTATTCAGAAAACAAAGAGACATGATTACTTTCTTTAAACTCTAATTTGAAATGCTTATATCTTTAGAACCTATAAAATTAAAAACTTTTGTGTATAAGCTTCGAACTCCATCTTAGGCAGACCCAAGGTTATAATGCAAGGAAAGTTAATTGCAGTTGTGTATACTCTGCGTACATATTGAAACCAGTTCTCTCTGGGCGAAATTTGTAAACAAGAATAGATGCAGTTCGTTTAGTTTCCGAGGAGGTTGAAAGCATTACATTTTGATAATTTTGATAATTCACATAATAGTTTCCTATGACCAGAATATTTCATTGATTTTTTAAGTGAAAGATGGATCCCATGTCAGGCTTCGANAGCTTTGTTCCCCCCATCCATTTACACACTTTTCTATACCCATCCTTTCTTACATTTCTTAAAATTTCTTTGTTCGGAAGTTTTGCGAAATCTCAGAATCAAAATCTTAAAGAAAACTATCAAAAAATTGCAACAAAAAAAATACGTTTGATGTAAATTCCGGAAAATTATGAGTTAAGATATTCTAAAATCGTGTGAAAAAATAAATATCTTATAACATATAGACTTTTTCACGCTACAGTTCATGCATGCATGCATCTATGCATTCTGCTTTGCAAGATGCAGTTTAAAATTTTCAAGGACTAAGAATATAATTCAAATTATTAAAAATAAGTTAAACCATGAAAAATAAATAATAAAGAGTTCAGAAAAAAAGAGAATCGTTCCAGAACAGATAAAAAACTTTGTTTGTTTAATTTTTGTCATTTTTCGGAGCTTTCTCAGGAATTTGATGAAAATTTGCCCAACTGCACTTTCAGATCTTTCTTAGAACTTATATACAGATCTGACTTTCTGACTTGGGAACTCAAAACTAATCTGTTAAAACGTGCCCTGTCCGCCCTGATAATAGTTTTTCATCCTTAAAAGAACTGTAGATTTTAAGAGACAATCAATTTAAGCCTCGAGTTTTTTTTACTTTTCTAACTAATACATGTCCCTTTAGGGTAAAAGCCGGACTTTTATAGCTACCATGCCTCAACCCCCCCCCCCTGCCTAGTCTATTTTGGGAAACCAGACGTCATTTTCAATGTTGCACAAGTAACTCAATTATTTTTGATCAGATACAGGTTTCAACTTAAAGAGGGCCGCTTACAAAATAGAAAATGCCACTCTGAAAAATGTTTGGGCCTCTTGGAATTCTGTCTTCATTTTATCAACTTTTAGATCTCGTTCACTTTCTTGGCAGTTTTGTAAGCACAAAAAAAATAAGATAATTAAAAGAAAATGCATTTCAGAGTTTCCATATTCAAGCATTTCAAATATTTATTCTTAATAAAAATGGATGAGCCTTAAAACTACAGTAATTATTTTCCAGTTATAAATCTTCTTCATTGAAGTATAATGTACACGTTAGTACACCATTAAAGAGACAACAAAGATAAATGAGTACCGGAAGTAAACTGCAATGAACCGGAAATGGGGTGCAATAAACCGGAACAAGAAATCTAGAATATCATCTGAAAACTTGATCGATAGCTTCACACATTCTCTAAATCTAAATATTGTGTTAAATGATGAATTTTATGTTTTCTTTAACACATATGTTAAAAGATATCTTCAATGTGAAAGATTTTTTTTTATTTGAAAAATACTGTTAGGTTAGTGTTAAATTTTCTTCACCGCTTAACAAATAGAGGTTTGAATGTCCCAAAATTGTTTTGTAATTTTAAACAAAAAAAGGAATTGTAATTCAAAAATACTGATATAAGATCATTAATCGCAAACATCAAATCAAATCAAATCAAATCAAATATTTATTGCACGAAGATTAGAATTTATACAATATAAATAACACATAGAAAAGTATAATAACATGCACTTTTTAAAGTTGTCATTTTGAAACCACAAACAAAAAAAAATAAAACATACAAAACTCAATGATTAGTCAAAATGGGTATAAAGGTTAACAGTATACAATTTTCTAAAAATACTCTCAAGCTGAACCATAAGAATATTGTATTGTTAATATTTATCGAACACTAAAAAAATTTTAAAGAGTAAATAAGTTTTTATATTATTTTATAAATATGTATCACATCTATCTAAGTATAGCTATAGTTCATGAATAAGTAATTTTGTGTAAGTGCAAGTAATCCATATCAATTAGTTTGATCCTAATTGAAGACTATCATCTTTTAATCATCATTTTATCTCTGCAACTATTATTATTAATCTTGGTTAATCATGACGTTAACAAAATTTTAACTGGATTTTCTCTGAAATAGCAGAAATAAAATCATGTTCAATTTTTTATGTTTAAATGTATAATCTCAAAATCAAATAATCCTTATCAACGAATTAAAGTAAGCACATAATATAATGAATATAATTTATATACAATCCACAAATACATAAAATACCAGCTTTGTTGGGAATATAAATATTCAATAAATTTTCATGATAGTTTTTCTAGACGGTGACTTATCAACCAATCTACTGCTAACTGATATATAATTTCAAGTGACCCTACATACAGTTAGATCGTAATGCCCGATTTACAACAGTACCCTTGAAAACTTTGAATTTGATATTGGGTTAAAACGGAATATGGGAACAATATAAAAATACTTGATAATAAGCTCGGAACCCCCCTCAGTATTGAGCACTCCTTTTTGTATACAGTAAGACCCGTAAAACTATGGATTAAGAAAACGTCATTTAAGCAATCTTATGTGTATTTGATGTTTTTACAAGAGCAAATGGTTAAACCATTATCTTAACTTTTAAATGATAAAGTAAAATGGTATGAGTTAGAGCACCCCCCCCCCCTTAGTGTCCAGTACACAATTGCCGTGTATCATGTTAATTGGACTATTTAAAATTATAACTTGAAGCATACATTCGTTTTCCGTACTTCACAGGTTTATGGGTCCTACCCAAAGAGAATAGAATATATATTAGAGTGGAATTTAGACAATCCCTCGGTATGAATTTTGTCAGTCCCTTCCAGCCTGAAAGGGAGTTCAAAGTGTATAATTCATGTAAATGTTCACAAATTTTATGTGCAGTAGAGTACATCAATACATCCATTTCAATTTCGAATTTCTTAAAGCTGTTGAAATAAACTTTATAAAATGAATTAGGTGAATAAAAAACCTAATTTGATTTATAGTTATAGAGGAAAATCTTCGTTTGTAAAGTGAAAGTCATAGAGTCTATGTGAAATGATCATTCGTCAATTATGAAACCAGCCTATTTCATAATTTGGTTTTCTTTTAATGTTAATTTTAGATTTTCTATAAAATGATGTTCCAGGGCCTAAAAGGTTATATTGCACAAATATGTGAAGTACACCTGCAGTATGGAAACAGTTCAACAAAATGGCCGTTTTACACATTTTTTTTATAGTAAATTACACTCTAATATATATTCTATTCTCTTTGGTCCCACCGTAGAACCTGACCAACCTGATCGGATCTCCGAAAAACTGACTGGCAATCCCAACAGTGGCTCCGGTCATACAGATTACAAAGCTGAACTTGTAGTAGAGTTTAAACATCCAGTTGTCGATGTTGATCTCATCGAACTTCATGTAGCTCACCAGATCGGAGAGAAGGTGCGCCATCTTGATTTAGATCACTTCCAGTCAAACTAATTAACTTTCGCCCCACTTAACTTTTGAATGACTTATTTCAATCGTTGAAGTCACTGATGCGGCGTCAAAGTCACATGTTAAAAATACGCATATATATCTGAAAAGGTGCGTCACTAAAACATAACAATACGCCCAGTGTAGCGTAAAATGAATCCAGATGCGTGAGTTGTGTAAAATCTAGTAATCCATGGTGTTGTGTACTCCGGACTAGAACTAGTAAGCAACTAACTAACTAAGCCACTAAATACTAGTATCTAGGCATCGTTCTATACTCTAGCCTGTACACATCTGCTTCACTAGCTCTATAGAACTCTGGGTAGATACTAGAAACTCAATCTCAAATATAAATTCATTGCGAATGTGGGCGTCGAATTATTGGGGGATGAGGAGCAGCTAGTCTGATTTTTCAACACAGATTTAGAATTCAAATTCTGATCTGGTAGTCGTTTACAAGTCTTAATTTTCAACTTGAAATAATTCAGAATGATAGAGCAGCTAATCTGATTTTCCTGAACAGAGACTAAGAAATTTAAATTCTGAGCAGCTAGAACTAATTAAATATATAACGATATCTAAGCAGCTAGCTTAATTTTCCAACTTATTTCTGTTTGTTTGTTTGTCTGTCCAATCTTCGTATCATTGGAAGAACCCATTGACTGATTGGACTCAAATTTTAGCTGGGGAACTCGTTGGAATTATTGGAATGTTCTTAGCTTGGTATCAAATTTATTAGTTAATATTGGTTGATCTTTATAGAGTTTAGATTTGCAGGCAAAGCTGGGTTCCCAAGCTAGCAATTAGGAGAACTTTAATTATGATCTTCTAGTATTTTGCTTATATGAATTTACAACGACTAATTTAGAATATATAAACCGTTTTATCAAACAAATATTCCTCTCGTTGGTAGCTGTTTTGTTTGTTTACATAATTAAACAATTACACACCTGCCAAAAAAGTAAACAAATCTTTATAATCTGATTTTCAGGAATTGTTATTTCAGATGATCCTGTCAAAAGATTGTCTTCTCAAAAATACATCAAAAATGTATGAGATATCCATCATCTTCTCTTTAAAAGATAAATTATTTTCGTTGTGGTTTCTTTACAAATTGACTTAAACATGTCTGCTTCAGCAGCACAAGGAGTAAAATAGTCAGAACCCGTTTTGACGTGAAAACCATTGATTTCACTGGTCCAGGGGGGGGGTACAGGGGCGGATATAGGGGCGGAAACAGGGTTGAGCATTAAAACATTCCTCACCCTTGAAAGTTTTGTAGCTTATAGCCACGCTCAACCCTGGAAAATTGCGCCTTTCATTAAAGTCACAATCAAAAAAGTATTTAGCAAGTCCAAATTGCTATATAACCAAACAAGTTCTGAGGATTAAAACAGCCTTAGAATTGTTTACTGCAATTGTGAATCCGGAAGAATCATAAGAACTCCCTCCAATGGCAATGCAGTATACTGGTCATGTGATACAGACGGAAACACGTGACAATAATACTGCACTGCCATTGGTTGGAGTTTGGTCACTTGATCCGGACGTATAAACAAAATTATAGATCATATCTATTTAAAATGAAAAATTATTAAATTCAAATAATTGATAGGAGCAAACCTGAGTTTCTCAGGCGCCTCTGGGATATCGCCGTATTCAGATTAGTTGCGTATTTGTTGAGTATGATCTGTTTAATATTGCGAATCTTATACAAAATCTTACATATATACGTTTTGGTATAATTTTGATGCAGTTTTATATCAATTTCTCGAGACAGGAACATCAGCTAGTACTCTTATATGTCTCAATCAACTCCTGATAATCTCAGGTTTCAGCCTTTCATTTTTTCATTACAGTCCCTTTAAACAGTAGCTTGGTAAATTTTCTTCGACTTTTACATTTTATTGTTAAATATTGAATTTTTGGCTGTATTTTTAATCATATTCAAACCGCTAACAATTGTATGCAAAGTTTCTTTTTTCGGTGAGTGAGTGACATTTAAAATGGTTTCGGAGCTAAAAGTTGTCTAAATTCAGGGCGTTTTCGACAAAATTTTCTTAACATTTTCTGCCAGAGTGACATAATTGCAAAAAACGTCTGGCAGGGAGAAATACGCACTTCATGAACATAAAACATGTTTAAAAAGTATAAAAAATGCTGCAAAATTTTTCTATTCAATTGTAGAATTTCAAACATAAATGTTTAGTTACTAGAATTTTGTGAATCTTACCACATTGTATCCATTCAGATTTTTTTTATGTATATCATAAACGCTTTTAAATACACAAACAACATATGAAGACTTTAAAATGTGTTTACGTANCCACCCGTCGAGAGTAAAAAACCTGAAATATATGAATAACAGGGTTTAAATGAAAGAAACTACGGCACACCTGGGTGCAAGGCATGGTTTTTTATCCATTATACTCATGGCCGTAATATGCAGAGGGGATGGGGGATAATCACCCACCCTATCCGTTTAGCTTTACTCTAATTGGGTTGATCATGATACTATAGTTAAAGATACTGGGGTTGTAATTTGAAAAAAGGGGGCATGTCCGATTCACATTCGAACATGTTATCTTATCAATAGTGGGAGATAACATCGTAATTATCGCCCAAGTGAAAATCGACTAGAACTTTGTGACATTCAGTCGTCTACCTACTTTAACAATTATGATTCTTAACACAATTTAACCACAAAATTTAGTCCTGGCATTTCCAAAATGTGGTCTGCCCTTTCTCAATATTACTGGAGATATTAGAAATTTCGGTCAGGTTTTAATTTTGTTAAAGGGACTGTAAAGGAAAAGTAGGCTGAAACCTGACAAATTCAGGAGTTTATCGAGACCTATACGAGTTCTATCTGATGTTCTCGTCTTGAGAAATGGATATAAAACGGTGTCAAAATAAAAAAGCTTATAAATGTAAGATTTGGTAAAGATTCTTAATTTTTAACAGATAATATTTATAAAACCCAAGTTGTGAGGAATCTTTACAGAAGTCTTCCTATCTCCGGTAATAATGAAAGCTCACAAAAGACAGACCACATTTTAGAAATGCCAAGACTATGGGTATTTTATGATTGTACACTCAAGAATTTTAATTAAAAAATTAATTTTCCGAAAAAATGCCGCAAATTATTTCAAAGACGACCTTAAATTCGTCTTGCTACTGTCATTTTTCGTGAGACACCCTGTAATTCATACCTGATCAGACAAAGCTTTTAAGAGTACCAATTTGAATCGGACAACCTTTCACCTATTACAAAAAATTACTTTGAAAGTCCCATAAAACTCAAAACATGCTAAGTGAATCAACACACTGATATGGCGTCAAAAATAATATTTTTATTTTATTTATTAATATTATATTTTCAACACAAAAATTTGACTAAACGATATATACAATAAACATAAATTCATGATCACAGAATAATTAAATTTACAATTTCACTTGTTTTCCTTTTTTGATTTAATCCAAGCGTGAATTTTTTCCTTAAGCTCCTCATCAGACTTCAACTAAAAGAATATATATAAATATATTAATACATTTTGATCAGTTTCAACAAAAATATTAAAATTGCTGAACCAGAGAAACCAGAAGCTGGCTAATACTCGATTTAAATCAAATAAATAATCATCTTAACAAATGTACTTTACACACTGTACAGTACTGTACTAAACCCATCCAGTTAATTGTACACACAACACTGTTGACTGTTCGTGTAATGTACTATACCCAATATTGTGCATGCTTTGAATATTAAAATAAAACTGAAAATAGGAGAATATATTTAAAGTGGTTACCAGGGGAAAACTATCTAAAGTCTGCTATTAATAACCTGGTCCATGGTGAGTGGATTTCTGTTAAATGGATCCGACTGGTCAGAAAGTAAATGCCGCGCTATTGTTGTCCTAAAAAACATTAGTAAAATAAGTAGTAAGTGCATTGTATCCAGGGTAGGGGGATGTGAAAAAAAATGTACCTTAGAAAACAAATTTTTTAAAATGTTTATGGAAAAAGCCGCAAAACTTTTAGTAATACAATACCGGAGAAAAAATGATCGCTTGAAAAGCAACATCAAACGCTTAAAAAGCAACAAAGAATAACCTGTCCACCGTCTTTTTGCTGGAAGGGAGTATGACGGGGTCCAGCATCAGAATGGACATGATGGGACACAAGAACTCCTCGGGGGCGTCACCTAACAGCTCCTCCTCCTCAGCCTGCTCACTAGAGGACTGGGACACCTACCACAATATCAGATTCAAGTTTTGAGGATACAAATACTAATAAAGAATGGGAGAAAATTCAAACACTGAGTTATATCATTGAAAATGTTATACATTCTATTATTAGACAGAAACAAGGTTTGATTAAGTTAAGGATCCATTTCTAAACAGTTTACAAAGTCAAATGCTATCACGAGATATATCGGTCGGTTAAAGATAGGTTTGTAGAGAAATTTAAGAATTCACTTTAAGAAACATTGTCTCTGATATTAATTACATGATAAATAGTTAAATTTTTAAAATCTAAGAACACTCCATACAAAAATTATATAACACCAACCTTAACTGCAATATCTGCTAGTTGAGAGACTAGATCTGCTCTGCCTATCTTGAGCAGGACGGATTCAGTCCAGGAGAATAGATCCGGAGAATATGATCTTCCGTCCCGAGATACGGAGGAGAGGAAGTTCTCACTCATTCTGAACAAATTTTTCCATGAATTGAGAGGAAGCGATTATTTAAGATTAAAGATGATAATTTTGAATTTTCAATTGCGGTTTTTCTTCTGAGAATTTGTACAGCAGAGAAAAAGAAAAAAATAACCAGAATTCGACATGATTTAAGATAGAAAAACGTTGATGTGAAGAGTATAACTGTTAAAGGATCACTTGAAATAACTTTGACATTGCTTACCCTAAATTGATGTAGGTCTGAGTGATCTTTGAAACAACTTCTGCAGGTTTAAAACTGTATTTATCCAGATTCTTCACCTGAAAATTTAATATTAGGGGTTTTTCATTTTCATTTTACTTATCAGTTTTCTCTCCAATATGTATGTAAAGTTTGAACAAAGTATAGAGTTAGAATGTTTTCAGTATTTTCCCTTACATTAATGGTTCCACCCGTAATTGGTTACTTTCTTTGTTACAAAATTCAAAAAACATGTCATTAGAATGTCATACTAATAGAAGCTGAACAGTCAAATATGAAAAATTTTGCCGGGAGAAAAGTCAACATTTACTTATTTTGAAAATGTGCCAATTTAAACATAAAAATCCGCGAAAATTGGAGAGCGATTGAAAATTTTAAATTTCGAAGCAACAGTTGATGAAATTGAAAACAGGAAATGGAGCGCGAAGCGTGATCATGGTATAATACCTTGAAATTCTTCCTGTCCGGTCCTGTCAGGGTTTTAAGGAAATAGTTCAGCATAGCGGCCAACCTCTCCGCCATGGTTGGGTGTGTGATTACTGCCTTTATTCCTCTTGTCATCAACTCAAGCACCTCGATCGTCTCATTCCCCATCAGGTTATGGTACCTCAACAATAAAAAATTTTGATTATCCAGAAATAATTATATATATTTTTCTAATCAACAAAAGTATAAATGGCCGAACCAATCGGGTCCAGTTTTTTTTAAGAATATAGCCTCAACATTTTTTTTTGATCTGCCAACAAATACCAAAAAATCCTGCGATCTCTGAATTTTTTTGCTAGCTAATATAAAAATTTAATTAAGAATCGAAACCTTCAATTTTTAAGATTTCTCTGCATTTGACAGTTTAAGTCCTGTGATAAAATTTGAACTCCCAACAAATATTGTTTCTCCTCAAAATTGATCTTATGAATAAATAATACATTTGCAATGATCTGATATGATGGATTGTTAAGATACCTGGCTAGTTGTCCAGTATGAATATATTGTCGTTCATTGTCTGATCTTTCTTGAGAGGATAGTTGAGACCATCCTTCCCTCTCTCCCTCCTGCTCCTAAACAAGACAGTATGTTTTAAGGAAGGATGCATCAAGGACAGATATCACAACGAATAATTATCAAGGATGGATATTTAAAGAAATTATTGGAAATCTCAAGGACGGAAGTATCAAGGAAGGAAGTACCAAGGACGGATGGATCAAGAACGGATGGACCAAGAACCGGTGATTAACAAAGGGATGTATCAAGGACGATGTATCAAGGACGGATGGATTAAGAACGGATAAATTAAAGACGGATGGATCAAGAACGGATAAATCACGAACGGATGAATCAAGAACGGATAAATCACGAACGGATGAATCACGAACGGATGTATCAATGACGGAAGGATCAAGAACGGATGAATCACGAACGCATGTATCAAGCAGATGTATCAAGGACGGATGTAGCAAAGCATAGATATATTTAAAGAACAGATATCTGAAGGAATGATATCTCTATGAATCTCAAGAAAGGATTCATAAATGACAGATATTTTAAGAATGGATAACTCAAGATTCTATTTTTTCCATTTTTAAAAAACAAAATTTGATTAATGCCATGTTTAACGAGCTTGGGAACCCAGCATTGCCTGGATTTTTCCCTATGAAAGTCCACCCACTCCATTTAGAATTTTAAAACCAAACTATGAACATCCCGGTGGTTATCTCACCCCTGTATACGCCCTTGGGCTTCACAATTAAACGACATTAGGTTTTCTGTTATAGGTTTTTATATTCGATGATGTTTTTATTTAATAAGGAACATTTTATTCATCTTAACTATAAAATGTACTGGTTACTTTTCTTTAAAAAAGAAGACACACTTAAGTTCTCTCCACTCCAGTATTGATATTGGTACCGCTATGAATCGTTTATGGTACATATAGAATTTAAGACTTATATCCACCTGTAAGAAAACTTCTGTTCAAACTGAACTGCTTGTCCTGTTTCTTCAATACTAACAAACACGTGAAGGATGGCAGCGGTCAGCTCTAACCGGTTTGGATGATCCTTAAATAGGAGACGAACTTAACTATTAACAAACAGTGAAACTTTTTACTAAGTGAAAGACCATATCCACAAATAACTTTGCAATCTATAGAAAAAGCCACTTATACAATCGGTTTTATATTTTCGGAAGTATTTACAAGGGTTTTAAACTATACCATCAAACCCTTAAACTTAATCACTCTTTTTTACTCAAACGCGGGAAACTAGTAAGTTATACTATTAAATATTCAACTGCGTAAATACATTGTCATTTAATCTAATCGACTCTACAATTCATAAACCTATTTATCTACAGACTTGCAATCAATCAAGAATCGACGCCCTCCTAAAGTTTTACAAATGTACATTTGATTTTCTCATTTTAACGAACTAATTTCAAAATCAAATATCAAAAAAGTTTTCATAGTAACTCTTTCAACATCGAGAATAAAACATGGAGACTTTTTGTTACAATTTTTTTCCCTCTTACAGACATTAAACAAAGCAAAACAAAGTTTGGCTCAAAATGTTAAGATTATTCTGAATTGAGTAAGGTAGTTAGTTAGAAACATTCTATGAATCTGAAAGTCTCCAATGTAAAAGTTTGCTAAAAGTTTGTGCGAGCTTAGATGAGTAAAATGTCCAACAGAGATAGGGGAAACTTTAGGTTCAATCTTTCTCAAAGTTAGTTTAGTATCTGGATAAATCTGAAATGCTTAAAGGGACTGAACACGTAATTTCAAACGACCTTCCCTTTATAAAGTTGCATGTTCGATTCACAAAGGTATTCTTGAATAAATTTATTTTGTTTCTAGCTGGAAACTGATTATTTCCAATGGTTGTTTCTCAATATTAAGAGAATTGCGGATTTAAGTAGCAGAGATAATTTCCTAATTGAAGATTTAAAGCAGTGCTTAGGATCCGTTGGATGCGCAAGATTTTGGCTTCCTGGATCCGGATCCGCTAAAATATGCGGATCCACGGATCCGGATCTAAGGGGTAAAATATCAACCAAAAACGGCAAAAAAACTTTGTTACTCCTAAAACCCAAATCTGAACTTTTGAAAAAAAGATAATTATAAAAAATTCCTTACTTATGAATGGTTCATCAAGTTTTAGGATAAAAATAAGCAAAACAAAATAAAACAAAAAATTTGAAAATTATTTTTTGTTTAAAAAATTCAGTAAATCTTAAAGAAATGACCTGGATTTTTTTCCAGTGCGGATTCAGGACCCGGATCCGGATCAAAATTAAATGGATCCTAAGCACTGGTTGAAAGGGTACCGTTGATATTTGAACATGCAAACCAACCTATACACTATACAGTCCCTTTACATTAATTTATTATCAGAATTAGTCTGCGATGCATCCAGGGAAAGGTTAAAATGATGAAATATAAGATAACTCTAAAAATATTGGAGGGACCTGCAAAGTGTAAAATAAGGATGATTTACTATTACTGGATTACTGGATTGCTGGATTGCTGGATTACTGAATTACTGGATTACTTTTTTGCTCTCAAAACCAAAAACTGAACTGTTAAATAAAAAGAGAGCATCAAAATTTCACTTATCAATGATGGATCATCGAGTTTTAGCATAAAAACTTTCTAATGAAAAAAGAAAATAATTTGAAAGTTCTTTTGTTAAAAAACTAGTAAATCTTAAAGAAATGTTCATGACATGGATTTATTTTTCATTTTGATCCGGATCCAGGATTCGGATTTGGATCAAAATGAAACAAATCCTAAGCAATGCCCCCTACCTGGAAAAGAGCTTGTCTGTGAAAGTTTCCTAACGGATTGGGTTGTGCCTGGTTTTCATGATGGGGTAGCATACACTCTAGAATATACATAAATATATTCATCATTTCAAGATCAAACTTGGAGATTAAATACCCTTCATTTCTGGAGGAAATTATCTCTCTTTAAAGATCCCCCCCCCCCCAAAAAAATCAAGTATTACTTCTTTCTTTACCGAAGCTTATCGCCGGATCTTTGGCCTTTTGATTACCCCAACCCTCGTTTTCAGCGTCAAATTATCTCCTGTTCAGTTTTATTTGGTGAACTTAATTCATTTTATTTATAAATTTATAAATTTCCAAAATGCATTCTTATCTAATTCTTAATTAGTATACCATCCTCCTAACCTTTTCCACACCAACTTCATGTTCCCTCTTTCTCTTTTATTTGTTTCATTTACACTACTAATATCCCCTCTTCCCTCCCCCCCTTCCCACAATCGCCTAACAGACAAAATCAATAATTTGATAATTCAGTACCTAAACACTCCGCTAGTTTAGCTCTCAAGTGAGGGTTGTTTAACCAGATTGGTTTAATAATTTAGTACCTAAACTCTCCGCTAGTCTAGCTCTCAAGTGAGGGTTCTTTAACCAGATTGGTTTAATAAATTAGTACCTAAACTCTCCGCTAGTCTAGCTCTCAAGTGAGGGTTCTTTAACCAGATTGGTTTACCCATGAAAACCAGAATCATGTCAAATATTTCACCAAGCCTAGAAAACATGTTATTAATTTCAAACCTTTACTCACTCAACTCACTTTACTCACGAACAAAATTACTTATTAGCTTAGAAAAGATATCATTTTTGAAGATGATTGAGTTAAACCTTTTAATCAAATCAATTTTTTTGGAATCGACGTGAATGCCATAAAAAAAACTTCTAGAAGACAAACAGAAAAAAAGAAAATCTCCAGAGATTGATCGAACTCTCAACTAAAAACTGCAAAAAAAACTTCTAAAACCCAACTCTGAACTTTTGAAAAAAAGAGAGATTATAAAGATTTTCTCATTTCTGAATGGTTCATCAGGTTTTAGGATAAAAATAAGCGAAAAAAATAAAACTAAAAAATTTAGAATTATTTTTTGTTTAAAAAATTCAGTAAATCTTAAAGAAATGACCTGGATCCGGATCCGGATCCATTTTTTCCAATGCGGATACAGGATCCGGATCCGCATCAAAATTCAATGGATCCTAAGCACTGAAGGAGGCCGAAGCGCTCCAGCTTAAATATGCAATGGTAACGAGCTCTGCATGAAAAATATTCCATGATTTTGTGATTTGACATTTTTTTATTTCTTTTTACCTTGTTCCGCTCTGTTCAAAGTGTGCAGGATTAAATCTCCTAATTAGCAGAATATGCTCACAAACATTCTCTACCAGGAACTCAGGAACACAGGACAGAATTTCAGGAACATCTGAAGTATAGTTGCTATGGAAACTGACATAGAGAAACCGATCCAAACTAATTAACGAGAAGTTTTCAGGAAAACATCAAGCAGTTTAAACTAAACAGATTTAAATCGACTCGCCATTCAAATCAAATCAAATCAAATCATGAGTATTAGGGAAATCTTTAGGCTCCACTCTACAGCTTGGAGTTTCAAGTCCTGACTGAGAGGTGGGTTTTCAGCCCGGATTTGTTTAATGTTTAACCGTTAATGAATCAATTGTTTAAATTTAGCGAAATGTTAAATGTTTTAAATGTGTTAAATATGTATGAGTGAAGGGGAGCCCCCCAATTGTTTGTTTTGGTACAGATATGCATTCCTAAGAACACATAGCTGGAAATGGAGCATAATGTCAATAAATAATACATCTAAAAATTAAAGTTAAATATGATTCAGAATAATGGTCATGATGGAGATAATTATATGAAGTTCATAATCTTATGAAAAGTTAAATAATAAATTGCAACTGATGTATAAACTAACTAACTAATTAACTAAGTCTAGCACCTATTCAACTCCACCACCTGGCTTAACCTAACAAAACAAATTCTAAGACCTAATAGAATTTTAAGTCAGCAAAACGTAACGTTAGAGAACACTTAGGTCAGTTTCCTCTAGGTCGGATTAAGTATCAATGTTTGGACCGAAGGGTAAATTTCCTGTAAAATCTTTTTTAAATGAAAAATTAAATTGAATTTAATTCAGTCACATACCTATAATGCCTTAAACCCCCCCCCTTTCCCCCCTCCACTGTGAACTCGTGTATTAAAAAGGATTATGATTTATGAACCATCGACAATTTACAAAAGTTGGTAAATATTTTCAAGTTTAACCTTTAATAGATTCTATATTGTGAGGGCAGGTTGACCCCGTGGCGAGTTTAACCATCCAGACACACGTTCCACTCACTAGAATATAATAGAGTTTAAATATGGTTTAAATAGTGATGCTGTTTATCTGCTTTATTCATCGTATGATTTTATATACTAACTAATAGAGTAAACATGTAATATGTTGTTGACTTTAAAATAAATGTTCAAATGAAAAAAGCCTTGACAAATTAATATTCATCATTTTCAGGCATTGCCTTAGTTGTCAAAAAATTTATTTTAAATATGCACTAAAATGAAAATCTTGTCTTGTAGATATCGATATCAAAGCTTGATAGCTCTATCTTTTCTTGATGAAGACTAATTTAATCTTTATTCGATATCATATTACACATGGTAATCGTACCCTGTGGCCGACTTTAAAGAATTTAAGCGGCGGTTTAAATTTAAGCCGCGGTTTAAATATGGTTGGTTCCACTTAAAATTGTATCAAATGTTTCATGATTTAAGCTGGCGCTTGATTTAAACCGGGGTTTGGCGGATTTAAACCGCGGCTCAAATTCTTTAAATTCCATCTCTGGAGGAATAACGGAAATGAAGAGATTAAGTATTGATCCTCAAGGTGCCCACTGTTGAAACCGAGATCAAGCGAACAGGATTATTTAGTTTCCGAAACATAAATTCCCGGCTCTGGCTGATTCAGATTTGTGAATAAGTTAATTTGATCATTTTCGATCAAAGAATGTGTTAAATGTGTTATTCTTAAATTCAAATGTTCCCACCTAGACTAGTTTGTTTCTCCATTGTTGCAGGTTCCAATAGTGCAGCTTTAATACTCAGATATCTTGACATACTCTCCTCCATCCTACCCTGGATATCCTCAGCAGCCTGCCCTCCTCCTCCTATACAGTAGATCAATAATACTCCCCTCTATTCTACCCTGGATATCCTCCTCCTATACAGTAGATCAATAATACTCTCCTTCATTCTACTCTGGATATCCTCAGCAGCCTGCCCTCCTCCTCCTATACAGTAGATCAATAATACTCTCCTTCATTCTACTCTGGATATCCTCAGCAGCCTGCCCTCCTCCTCCTCCTATACAGTAGATCAATAATACTCTCCTCTATTCTACCCTGGATATCCTCCTCCTATACAGTAGATCAATAATACTCTCCACCATTCTACCCTGGATATCCTCCTCTTATACAGTAGATCAATAATACTCTCCTCCATCCAACCCTGGATATCCTCCTATACAGTAGATCAGTAATACTCTCCTCCATTCTACCCTGGATATCCTCCTCCTATAAAGTAGATCAATAATACTCTCCTCCATCCTACCCTGGATATCCTCCTCCTATACAGTAGATCAATATTACTCTCCTCCATTCTACCTGAATATTTTTGGTAGCCTGCTTTAGTAGGCAGAATTGTCTTTAAATGGGAAAAGTTATTAATTTGGTAGAGATTTCGATATTCAATGTATAAATAATTGAAAATCTTTTAAGGGATTATAGATTACAGAAAGATGACATAGGTTATAATTGAACAGATTAAGTTTAGACCTTCTGTTATTTTTTCTATAAACGGACGGGAGCTTAAGTCTAAACGCCTCAGATTAAAGGGTGACAGCGATAATTATCATTATTATTATTGACAGAATTGTCAACAAAAAAATTTGGACAGTTATTAATTTAGCATTAAAACTCTTTTATTTGGATTTCTAATAAATGAAACTGAAATAGCCTTGAAAAGGGACGTAAATCGTAATTTCAATTGACTCTCACAATCTCCATTTATGAAGTGGCATGTCTGATTCCGATAAGTGCCAATGCCATTGTCTGACAAAGAATGAAGAAGATATCCATCTTTTCTCTAAAAAAATTTATCACTTTCAATTGTGGTTTCTCTACGAGTGTCAATGGAGAAACAATAAAAATTAAACACTTTTCTTCCACATTATTGCTGAGAACAAGTTACCGTTGTGAATTAGGAATGCTCATCTATAAAATGAGGGTCACGTGAAGTTACGTCTGCAATCCCTTTAAGAACATTAATTTTAAGAAAGACGAAATATTATAATAACTTAATCACCTTCCATTGCGTCTCTGTATGCAGTCTGTAATCTATTCAACTCTTGGTTTAGTTTAGTAAACTTCTCTTGAACTGTTCTAAACCCAAGATCTAAAGCTTTGTGTGTCATGAAGAATATTTCCGATGTAAAGTTGTATGTCTGGTTGGTTGGTCTGTCTGTTCCCTCTGGTAGGGTGATAATACATGTTTCAGCTGGAAGGGATCTCATGTGTACTCCGGATAGCCGGGCATCTTCAGATACTACGCTTACAGCAGAACAGTAGCTAGCGTCTATCTACAAATATCAAACATTTCTATGTGTTAAATTTCGATTTTACAACCATTTCATGTAAAATTTAAATTCAGTATAAACATTTTCTTAACAGATGCATGTGATTGACATTAAAAAAGTTTCTAAGCATTTGATTAAGAATAAGATATTAATAAGATTTTTTTCAATGCTTTAAATCGCTGTGCTTCATTTGTAACTAAAATAATGTAAAATGGTCAAAAAAAAAGGTCTGAAATAAAAATATTTTTTTTTGTTTAAGTAATTCTGACAGAACCAACCTTGATTGACATTAAAAAAGTTTCTAAGCATTTGATTAAGAATAAGATATTAATAAGATTTTTTTCAATGCTTTTAATCGCTGTGCTTCATTTGTAACTAAAATAATGTAAAATGGTCAAAAAAAAAGGTCTGAAATAAAAATATTTTTTTTTGTTTAAGTAATTCTGACAGAACCAACCTTGATCATTTTCTCTGGTTTCTCCGTGAAGGGATTACAGAATCGGAGGAGCATACTACCAAGGTTCAACATAAAACCATCGGAGGCAAATCCTCCGGAAAGAAGAGGACCCATCTAAGAGAAAAAAATGCGTCTTATAAATTGTTTTTAAAAAAATTGTTTAATTTGTACATACATTTTTCCAGCGATTTTTTAGTTATTGAAAGTCACCTAAAACATCCTTAATTCATTTTTAATACAGCCCCCCTAGCCAAAAAAAAATATTTGCGATAAAGGATCTAAGCGGATTTATATTTACCCCGGTAAAAGTTCAAAAACTTTAAATTTTCAATGCATGCTCCGTAGGGATGAGTTAAATTTGCATAACAAACTTTTTCCATGAATAGTCTAAGTTAGTTACTGTCCACATAATTTAAACTTCCTTACAGGGTTACACACAAAGGATGAGAGTTTAATGACAACCTATAAACATTTTTTTAATATGACCATCCGAAGGTTGACTAAGGCTTTGTACCAAGTTATAAATGGATATTAAAGTATACACTGATTACTGACTGATTTGAGTATAATAAAAGACGAAATTACAGCTGCAAGGAACGAAGAAAATAATGTAAGGATTAAGTTCGTCTCTAATATACCATCCAACTCTGCATCAAACAGATGGTAAAGTTGCAACAAAATATGAGGGCCTTTTTCAATTACCATCCCAAAAAATGACGAATGCAGGAATTGCAACATTTACTTAAAAATTTTGATTTTTTTTCAATCACCTGCGAAGTCCACATCTTCCCTCGACCAGCATTTGCTGCTAAACATTCCCCCAACCACATCAATGATAGATGTTTCACATCATCGCCACATCTATATAAACATATATATATGTATTTTTGCTGCTAACCATATACCCAACCACATCAATGATAGATGTTTCACATCATCGCCACATCTATATAAACATATATATATGTATTTTTGCTGCTAACCATATACCCAACCACATCAATGATAGATGTTTCACATCATCGCCACATCTATATACACATATATATATATATGCTGCTAAACGTTTACCCAATCACATTAATGATAGATGTTTCACATCATCGCCACATCTATA